GAGGGAAGATGTATCAGACGCTCGTCAATCCGATGGGTAAGAAGACTGAATCCATGACATTGTGACAGAATTCTTATGCCCAGACGGTGGGGCAATCGGCGAATGGCATTTCATATATTTCAAGGAAGAATCCTAAACTTTTAATTTTTGAAAAAATGTTGGGGAACTTGTTGAAGAGTGATTCAGTTGAATTGCCATAATTTTTTCTTGTTGAGGATTGAAGATTAAAATTAAGAATTAAGAAAATTAATTTTTTGCAATTGAAAGACACGTTTTATTTTACGAAAAGAATTTTCGGGACTTCTAAAAAAATACCTTCAGACTTCTTCAGACTTCATTAACCCCCAGAGCATAAAGATTTGATCACAAAACTCATTAAATCATATACCGCAATCCCATGCAGCAATCACGAGCTCGAGCAAGTCAGATTAATAACAATTCCACGAAGGATTTCGTAATTTCCCCGCGGGTCTACCCTCGAGCCCACACACCACTGTCCCCCACTCCTCCTCGCATATTGGGCCTCTCCCCCTCCCCCAGAGTAGCAGCTGGGGCCAGCACGCGCGAGAGTGTCGGCGAAACGCACTTTACTGCCGCCGTAAAAATCTCCATAGGTAAAAACAGATCATTTCGCACAGTTCCTCGATTTAATTTCCAATAGTTTTGAGAAATGATTTGGAGGAAAAAAATGATTGCAACAGATGGCGAGTGGCAGGGGTCCAGATGGCGATGCTTGGACCCTGAAAAAAAATTATGAGTTGGATGGAAAGATTCCTCTGGAGAATTTTGAATACTTGTTACTTATTATTGAAATTTAACAACCCCACGATAATTAAACGGGATTAAATATGTTTATTCCCTACTAGAATTATTTTGCAACGAAAAACCGGACGTAAATTTGAAAAAATACCCTGGGAAAATATGATTTCACACGATAACCATCAAACGATTCAATTATTCCTCCGTTAATGTCATATTTCCAGAAAGAAATACCGATTATGTACCCCTTCATCGATCAAAAGAATTCTTCAAATAATTCCCATTTGATCTCAACGATCAGCTACACCAGAGACTTCTTTCAGTATCTCGGGTAATGGTTTAATTACCCTGTAATTGTCCCATCACTTCGACTCGCCTCCATTCCAACACCATATAAAGTGTCTTCACCCAATGGCCATAAACTCACCCGATAATTACTTTCATCTTCCAACTGTACAATTAAACCTGAAACTCGAGTCATTGTTCCCTCACATGATTCATCAATATGATTTATCTTATGCATCTGAATAGTCTCAATCTGCAGAATCATCCAGCTGTGATGGACAATGAGAAATCATTGGATGATGCCTCTCAAAATTCCTTCATGGGATGAAGTTTGGACTTGGAGACGTGCAACTTCGCCAGAGGTGGTCGTCACTCAGGCAAGAGCGATCGATCTTGATCGCCCTCTATTTTTCTTCGGTTATACTCTGGCCCTTGGGCTCTTCCTTCCACGATTTACGGTCACGCTTGGTCATTTACATACACGCACGACTTGCACCACGTTCCGCTACGCTTGGCTTCTATTCATTTGAATACACATAACTGCAGGGTTGAATTAAAAATTGGGGAAGTTTTGAAAAATCCGAGGAGACGGGGTTATTTATTACTGTGAGGAGGATTAACGTCTCTACTTGATCAAATTTTGAAAATAAATAAAATGATCGAGGAAATAAAAGAGATGAGTTAATTTTTTACAACAATTTCTAGTTGAGGAGAAGAAAAATCTCAATTTAATGAAAAAAAGCCGAATAAATTTAAAACAATGTCTAATTCTACCATTGTTCCTTCAACTGCTCAAATTCCTGAAGAAGATCGAGACCAAAGAAACAACCTGCGATAAAAAACTCAGCGAAATCTCATTCTAAAATAAAAAAATGGAAAAATTTCAATAGGAAGAGAACAAAGCACATTCCACGTGCCATCATTTGTACCTCTGCATGAGCCCTTTATTCCAATTCCCCCATCTCCAATAAAACCCTCCTCCCAAGCAATTTGCATGCAATTTTCTCTTCCCCCTCGAAGAAATAAAGAAATCAAAACAATTACCTAAAAATTCCTCGAGAGCGTGAGTAAGTTTCACGTTACAAATTTTACGATTTTTATGTATTCTCAAGGAATAAATTTTATGACGGTTATCAATGTCATCGTGATTCAGAGCACCCAATGGAGGAGACTTGAAATACAAGTTTGCCAATCGTATAGCCATTGTTCCATAACCTTTTATTCTTTCATTCGACTCGTGAATTATTGTTTCTCCTCTGGTGCTACTACCTCTCTCTCCCCACCCACCCTCATGATCATTCTCCTTTTATTTTATTATTATTCCTCTTCCCTCCCATTCGTTCACTCTGGAGCCCATCGCCTGACGGTTGTTTCGCGCGTTTGACGATACACCGGAGGCCTTTTATTTTCGGCAGGATATTTTAGCTGGCACTTGAGGGCACCGGGTATCCTTGAGACAAAAGGGAGGAAAAAAAATATTGGGTAGATTCCTCTTGAGGAGGTATCGATGTTTACGAGCTCGAATAAACGACGCCGCAGACTGCGGTTCCGTCGTATTACTTTGGGGGTGTCGCCTCGGCATAAAAATTGAGACCTGGGGAGAGTCCAGGACAATTTGGGGTTTGGCGGGAATGATAACTGGTTTCCATGATTTTTTATATGAACTATAGTTTAAAGTATACTATAACACTCATAAAAATTATATTTTTGAGGAATTTAAACTGAATTTTGAGTATTTTTTACTGAGTTTTGATAAAAATTCTTTTAAAAATTGAGTTTTAATCGGAAATTTTCACAAAAAAGAAAGAAATTTTCAATGGAGTAAAAAATCCCGCGAAATTGCACTTTTCTTATCGCATAATGTTGATAAACTTTCTAAAAATCGTATTTATTTGGAATTTTAATTGGAAATGTTCGCATAAATAAGAGGAATTTCCACTGAAATCAAGAACTCCCCTTGTTCCACGAAATTGCGCTTTTTTTTCTCTCAGAAATGTTGAGCAATATAAATATATTATTTTCCATCTATCCAATTTCTCCGCCCCCCAGACACCTCCACGTATTGTCTTCCCTCGGTTCTTCAATCGTAAATCCAGCGAAACACTGAAACCTCTCACTTTAGAAAACCATCGCTGTAATTTCCACTGTTGTTTGTTGCTGAGGGATAATCATACCTTCTCGCATGATAGAAGATGATGGCAGTCGCCTCGCATACATCTTTCGCCCCGGGGTGATTTCATGTATACGTTGCGTGTCTCAAAATGCGAAATTTCTTTTCCCAAAGGTTATACTTTGACCAGAGACTAAACGACCCCTTCATTTTCACTTGTGCTCTGCTGATACTCTCGAACACTTTGGGGTCATTATCGCCAGGCGATTTAATGGGTTACGTGGAAGTTTGAGGATCTTCAGTAGAACATCGGAATTTAGAAGATTTAAATTCCGAAATTCTCACATCGACTTCGTAAAATCGTTTCATTCGTCTCAAATAAATCAACCAAAAATTAAAAAGAGAGTATGAACTGAAATATGAAGAACGACTCGACAGATACATCTGCTTTTTCACACAATATCCGCGATATTAAATTCCAGATCCCCTCGATGATTCCTTTTTTGATCTCCAGCCAATCCATCTAGAGTAAAAAAATGGAAAAAACGAAGGAGAAGAGGCGCATGCCGGGGCAATTATTTTTGCGTATGATTTCGATCGCAGCTCGAGATTAACGCATCCCAGAAGTGCACGGCAATGGTACAGCGAACGTGTAGGAACGTAACGAGACCGAAAGGAAAGAAACCGCCAGTGTATAAACTGCAAGTTATCTTATGGGGTGGGTCGTATTATGCTATGTCGCTATGTATCGATACTTCAACGACCGCACAGGTTTTTGACTCAAGTACTGGCACGTGCGCTTCTGAATTTATGCTAATCGATGTATGACAGTCATTCCAATGACGGTAGATTTAATTAATGCACTTCATTCTTCATGAGCCCACGCAGAAGTGATTATTTTTTATTTTTTATTTTTATGAATTGTTTTCAATCGTCAATAATGAGAGATCGGCCGAGTGAAATTCGACGAGTTTTGTTTTTCGTTTTCAAGATATTTTTATAAACTTTAAAATGAGCCTTGATTTATCGAAATCGTATCGTTCAGTCAGGAGAAATCAAGGATTAAACGCCCGAATAAATAACCCAAGTGGCCGATTGATGAAAAATTAGAGAAGAGTTCCAGAGAAGATTAAGTTCTCACCGGAAACATAAATGTGTGTGTAAGTCGGAAGTAAAAGTATACGCAAAAGTTATAACAATATTAACAATAAAAATGATGCTCGCAATGGCTTTTTTGTAATGCTTAATGATACTCACCCTAATCGTTGTGGAGAAATCACTGAGTGCGATATAAATGCAGAAATTTGATGAATAAAAATAGTTTTTATTCAAATACAGCGATGACTAGTCACTTGTGGAGTTGCACAACAACAACAACAACACAGTTAGAGACACACGCGTCAACTTCATGTATATGGGAAGTGGTTCGCCCACAAGCAGTCCCATACCCGTCCCCATAATGCCTATGAAGACTATCAACTTGGAATCAAGACTTTCGACGTTGTGGGTGTTAGGGATTTCACTGGTTCCTTAAACGTGGTATAAATATTCAACTTTTCTTCCTCATCTTGTTTTCACTGGTTGTACCAAGCTGGGGGTCTCCGATTTGACCTCTTAAGAAACCGGAGGAGCATTAATTCGATACTCGAGGTGGATTTTTTCAGCCGAATAGAGGGCTTTCTTGATTGAGCAATTGGAAGGATCCGCCTTATTTGGAGTTGAACATTTTAATTGGACGGTTGTAGTTTCAAACAAATGTTTATTAAATTAATTGATCCATTAGTGGATAGGATAACTGAGTGATAGTATCAACTAAAGACATGTTTGATTACTTCTTTTGTTGCAGTATGCATTGGAACAAATGGACGTATGTCGGTACCATCGAGCCAACACCATCACTACCGCAATCTGCGAGACAGGTACACCAACTGTACCTACGTCGACGGTAATTTGGAGATTACGTGGCTGCAGAATCAAACATTTGACCTCAGTTTTCTCCAGTACATTCGAGAAGTCACGGGTTACGTGCTCATTAGTCATGTCGACGTTAAAGTCGTTCTACCGAGGCTCCAAATTATCCGAGGACGTACACTCTTCAAGCTCAACATTCACGACGTCGAGTTTGCACTACTGGTTACAATGTGCAATATGCATGATCTCGAGATGCCAGCACTCAGGGATATTCTCAATGGGAGCGTTGGAATGTACAACAATTACAATCTGTGTCACATCAAGACAATCAATTGGGACGAGATAATAACGGGCATCGGTGGAAAATACGTCTACGTATACAATTTCACGACACCTGAGAGAGTATGCCCAGAGTGCCATAAGAATTGTGACCAGGGATGCTGGGGTGAGGGACCAGAGAATTGTCAGAAATTCTCTAAAACCAATTGCTCACCGCAATGCTGGCAGGGCAGATGCTTCGGGCCAAATCCCCGCGAGTGCTGTCACCTTTTTTGCGCCGGCGGTTGCACTGGCCCCAAACAGAGTGACTGTCTTGCCTGCAAGAACTTCTTCGACGATGGTGTCTGCACGCAGGAGTGTCCACCAATGCAAAAGTGAGTAAAACTTTTTCACATCCCCACATTCTATCTTTCTCAGCTTATCCTTAAATTGCCACCTGCATGCCGAAAAACCACCGCGATACTTGGGGGTCACTGAACGTTAATCGATTGGGTCAGTTTGAAAACATTTAGCCAGTGGAATTCACCAAAGAAACAATTCACCCCACATTTAATCTGTCACTGATGAGAAACTAAATTTCGCCTCCTCCTTGTTTGGATTATTAATGCTCATTCTTTCAAATGAAATATTTCGTTTTATTATAGATACAATCCCACTACGTACTCATGGGAACCCAATCCCGATGGGAAGTACGCTTATGGCGCGACGTGCGTGAGAAAATGTCCAGTTCACCTGTTGAAGGACAATGGGGCATGTGTCAGATCGTGTCCACCAAAGAAGAAGGCACAAAATGGTGAATGCGTGCCCTGCGATGGGCCCTGTCCAAAGACATGTCGCGGTGGCGACAGAGTGCATTCAGGCAACATCGACAGCTTCAAGGACTGCACGATTATCGAGGGCTCAGTCACTATTTTAGACCAGACGTTCAAAGGATTCGTCGACTTCTACTCCAATTTCACGACTGGCGAGAAATACGCGCCCATGCACCCGGACAGACTAGAAGTCTTCAGCACACTCCGAGAAATCACTGGATTCCTCAACATTCAGGGGGACCACGCGGACTTCAAGAACCTCTCCTACTTCAGAAACCTCGAGGTCATAGGGGGTAGAACACTGACTGAATACTTCGCATCCCTCTACATAATCAAGACCTCGCTCACCTCACTGGGCCTCCAGTCCTTGAGGAAGATATACTCAGGCTCAATCGCCATTTTGGAGAACCAGAATCTGTGCTATGCGCAGAGCATCGACTGGCTGAAGATCAGAAAGTCCCAGGAGCACATGAGCCTCTTATCCAACAACAAGAACGAGTCTTTGTGCATCAAGGACGGCCAAATCTGCGATAAACAGTGCTCTCACGAGGGTTGCTGGGGCCCTGGACCGACTCAGTGCCTCTCCTGCAAAAACTTTATACTGGGAAATGTTTGCTTGGAGAACTGCAATGCTCTACCTGGGTAAGTTCCACTGGATAATTAATCCGTTATGAAAAAATCTCAAAATATCTTCATTCAGACAATATCGTGATGATAAGCTCGACGAGAAATATATATTTCCACCCTTCGATATCAAAGTCTTCAGACAAATCCATGTAGATGTTTAAATAATTGATGGTAAACTCGTTTATGTCCACAGAATTTACCAAGCAGACACAAAGACCTGCAAGCCCTGCCACGAGGAATGCGCGGGAACCTGTGTGGGTCCACGAGCTGAACACTGTACCTCATGCAAGCACTTCCGAGACGGTCCATACTGCGTTCCCCACTGTCAGCAAACTAAATACGAGCAGAATGGACAATGTAAAACGTGTCACCCGACGTGTGTGGGTGGTTGTACAGGGCCTGAGAATAAAATTGGACCAGGTGGTTGCAATAGCTGTGAGAAAGCCATAATAAATGGTGATGTACCAGGGGAGTGTTTGCAGAAGCGTGATCCATGTCCAGATGGTCACTACTACGAGTGGATTGATCCGCAGGAGCAGGGGCCGTTGAAGGCACTCGCTGGCACTGGGGCCTGCAAGAGGTGCCACCCACGTTGTAAAAAGTGCACTGGCTATGGGGTGCATGAGCAAGCGTGCCAGGAGTGCGTCAAGTTCAAACGGGGGGAGCACTGCGAGGACGAGTGTCCAGCTGATCATTATGTTGAGTCTGACACTCAGCTTTGTATCCCTTGTGCCTCTGAATGTCGAAGTTGCTATGGGCCCGAGTCGAATCAGTGCTATGAGTGCAGGAATTTGAGGCTTTATGCCACTGGTCATCCTGTGGATAATACGACGCTGTTTAACTGCACTGGCTTCTGCCCAGCGGAGTATCCTCACAAGGTTTATCCGGATGAGGGAGAACCTTACTGCTCTGCAGCTCCAATCCCCGGGTTTCAGTTGGAGAATGAGATACAGCCGGCGATTCTCATGGGGGTGGGGAGCATTCTGGCGGTGATTTTGGGGGTGAGCGCTATAATCATGTGGCAGTGGAGACTGAGGACGAAAGCCAAAGAGAATACAGTGAAGATGACGATGGCACTGACTGGGCTGGACGACAATGAGCCACTGCGTCCAACCGGTGTCAAGCCGAATCTTGCCAAGTTGAGGATTATCAAGGAGGAGGAGATGAGGAAGGGTGGGATACTCGGTTACGGTGCCTTTGGGAATGTGTACAAAGGGGTTTGGGTGCCTGAGGGTGAGAATGTCAAGATTCCAGTGGCCATCAAGGTACTTCATGACAGCACTGGTGCCAATACGTCGAAAGAATTTCTGGATGAAGCGTACATCATGGCTAGTGTTGAGCATCCGAATTTACTTCAACTCCTCGCGGTCTGCATGACCTCCCAGATGATGCTGGTGACTCAGTTGATGCCACTGGGCTGTCTTCTCGATTTTGTTCGCACCTACAAGGACAAAATTGGATCCAAACCTATGCTCAATTGGTGTACACAAATAGCGCGTGGTATGTCGTATCTGGAGGAGCGAAGACTCGTTCATCGAGACCTTGCAGCAAGGAACGTCCTGGTTCAAACTCCAAGTTGCGTGAAAATCACGGACTTCGGTTTAGCGAAATTGCTAGACATCAATGAAGATCAGTACAAGGCTGCTGGAGGGAAAATGCCCATCAAGTGGCTGGCACTCGAGTGCATTCAGCACCGGGTCTTCACTCACAAATCTGATGTTTGGGCGTTCGGTGTCACCATCTGGGAGATTTTGACCTACGGTGGGAGGCCCTATGAACAGATTCCTGCGCGAAATGTTCCAGAATTCTTAGAGAAAGGCGACAGACTACCCCAGCCAGAAATCTGCTCAATCGATGTCTACATGATCATGGTCAGTTGTTGGTTCCTAGACGCCGAAGCGAGACCGAGTTTCAAAGACCTCTCCGACAATTTCGCCAAAATGTCGAGGGATCCTGGCAGATATCTCGCCATCGCAGGAGACATGTACATGCGGCTGCCCTCCTACACCCCCCAAGACGAGAAAGAGATGATCAGGAACTTGGCTTCCGCCATGGATGGTCCAGAGGCCCTTCTCGACATCGACGAGTACCTCCAGCCGAAATCACGAGCCCCACTGCCCCCTGGTCTCTCCAACTCCAGTCTGTCTGGATCTCCCCCGAGTACACCCCTGAAAACCTGTTGGCCGAATGGAATGCCTTCAGTGCCAACCGACTCACCGACCCCTCAGAACCAGCAGAACTGGGACAGAGAACTACTGAGGTACAACGCAGCACATGCTGCCACCAGTCAACAACCCACCGAGCCCAACAATTCCGCTCAACACCCTCACTACTCACGTCCCACGAGTCACTGCAGACCAGTCAGTACTGCGGATGGTTCGAACCGCAGGTATTGCTCGGACCCTCTGAAGATGGTCGGCGTCAGAGGTAAGCATCAATCCACAAGCTCTCTCTTCAACCCAAATATTCAACTTCAATTGATCATGAATTACCCTTTCATTCCTCAGATTGCGACGTAACGGACGACTGTTTCACTCCTGAAATAGTACCAGTTCAGCAGCAAGCGCAAATAGGCAATCTCAAGCTCGATCTTCCACTGGACGAGGACGATTACCTAATGCCATCCCCCCAACTACCTGCCAATGTATCGCAATACATGGATCTCATCAGCGATGCCAAGCCCACTGGTAATTACCGTTCAATCAATCCCCCAATTAAAACTCTTTAAACACATGTTCTAATGAAATTCTCTTGCACATTTCAGAGTCAGAGCCAAAGAAACTGCCCAATGGCTACAGGAAGTACCCAGAGTTCCTGACAATTCCTGGAAAAACCTCCCTGGACAATCCTGAATACATAATGTCCCAGGACGAGCCTCCACTGACTCCCCAAACTATCGGAATTCCAACCCCTGATCTCGACAAAGTCCTGACTAACGGTGCGTTTGGAGGGCAAGTGAGGCAGAGGAGTTCAGAAGAGGAGTCTGATCACGAGTATTACAACGACTTCGATCGACTGAAGAGAGAACTCCAGCCACTCAAACCACTGCGAAAGAACGAAACAACTGTTTAATAAATTTGTGCATAGTTTTTTTAGACTACATTGTTAGAAAAATGTTGAAATTTCGGGGACAATTGATTAGTAATTTTCGGGAGACTGACATTGAATGGTGAAATTTCGGGCTTCACTGAAAATTCAATGAAATTCCTAATTTTCAAACAAAATGAACATTCAGGACCAAATGATACTGAATTCTCCTTATCTCCATTGATCTTCATGGAATAATTGAACTGAAATTTACAATTTCCATTGATTTTTCCATGAAGTAGCACGTTTTTAATAACGAAATTATTTGAAATTCTGGTGGAATTGTAATGTGATAAAGGCTTCCAAGTGTACCGGAAATTTCAGTAGAAAAATTTGAACAGTGTAGGTCCAAAGTACTTAGGAGTGACAAAACAACTCGCCAATGTGATTAATCTTAAAGCGAACAAAAATGTAGAGAAATTATTTTTGATGAATTTTAGTGCAAAAAAGGGAACGAAGGGTTTCTTAATGTGCCATGGACCTGTGGCTTGTAAATACGGATTCTAATGCGAAAATGCAATTGATCATGAAGAGCTAATACTTGCATTTCGTGAGGTGTTTGGACACTGTTTATACCACGAGTGAATAAATCGTGGAGATTGCATTTCATAGAAATGATTTTATGTTATCGACGTAACAGAGGTTTCTACAACGAATTAATTGTACAGATAGCCTCTTGCGGGCCACCGCTGACTGTGATAGGATAAACAAAATCATGACTTAAGGAAAAATTAAATTTTAAATTTGCAATAAAAAGAGGACTCGAAGGAGTCGAAGCACTACTTAAATTACGTGTCCATGCCATTTATATTTTTTACGTATTTTTGGGATCCAATGCAATTGGATCGTGAAATGAATTTTTTTCGAGCAAAAGGATTTACACAGTTTTTTACGACAAAATTGGACAGTGCCATGCTCTCCAGGTTTTATAAATCTCTTGACACGAAGGACAATACGAAATTTTTGATACTGCATTTTTAATGAGTATTGTAACCACTGTACATTTGCCTTAGGTATTACTGATGTAATTCCTATTTTAAGTATATTTTGTAATATATTTTGTATTCTCGAAAATATATAGATAATTGTAAATTTTATAGTTACGCGATATACTCAAAATCATGTCTTTTGTATGTTGAAGAAATTTATATTTTCGGTGTGAATTGTAAATATAGACTGTTACTGTAATAAATGAAATAATTATGAAACTTTCGGTTTTATTTATTCCTGGAATCATTGCCCCTGCGTCAACACCTATGGCATAAGTAAGAGAATTTGGAAATTCTTCTGAGATCAATTGTTAAGTTGAATTTCACTGTTTTGTTGCAGTCTGCATTGGGACAAACGGACGCATGTCAGTGCCATCAGACCGACAGCATCACTACCGAAATCTCCGAGACAGATACACCAACTGTACTTACGTGGACGGTAACTTGGAGATTTCGTGGCTGCAGAATCAGACATTTGACCTCAGTTTTCTCCAATACATTCGAGAAGTCACGGGTTACGTGCTCATCAGTCATGTAGACATTAAAGTCGTTCTACCTAGGCTCCAAATTATCCGAGGACGTACACTCTTCAAGCTCAACATTCACGACGTCGATTTTGCACTACTGGTTACAATGTGCAATATGCATGATCTCGAGATGCCAGCACTCAGGGATATTCTCAATGGGAGCGTTGGAATGTACAACAATTACAATCTGTGTCACATCAAGACAATCAATTGGGACGAGATAATAACGGGCCCCGGTGGAAAATACGTCTACGCATACAATTTCCCGAACCCCGAGAGACCATGCCCAGAGTGTGATTCAACTTGTGTCCAGGGGTGCTGGGGCGAGGGACCAGAGAATTGTCAGAAATTCTCTAAAACCAATTGCTCACCGCAATGCTGGCAGGGCAGATGCTTCGGGCCAAATCCCCGCGAGTGCTGTCACCTCTTTTGCGCCGGCGGTTGCACTGGTCCCAAACAGAGTGACTGTATTGCCTGCAAAAACTTCTTCGACGATGGTGTCTGCACGCAGGAGTGCCCACCAATGCAAACGTGAGTAAAACTTTATAAAATCCCCACATTCTACCGTTCTCGCTGATGAGAAAGTAAATTTCAACTCCTCCTTTTTTTTATCAGTGCTCATTCTTTTCCATCAGACATGTAAGATTTATGACAATAGTTTTGTTATAGAATATGACTAAGTTTATTTGAAGAAAATATTCTAATACATCGAAAATATATACACAATCCACTTTTCAATACCACGACTCTACTCCTGGAAATTTAACTATCTACTGGCTCATTCGCACTTCCACTCATCCCTAAATAATGAAAGGGCGCTAGTCCTATCTGCGTCCCTTTCGTTCCATTTTACACTCATTCCTTCTCAATCTATTTTCACTCATTCCATCACTCTCTTTATTCTTGAATATACTTAATGCCGCATCCACCCTCAGACTCGAATCATCTGTTCTTTATGATTTTATACCCTAGTCATCGGTCCCTCAACTACGCCGCGTACTTCTCCGATGTTTGGACAGTCCCCAATTCTGTAGCGAAGGGGTAAACTAGAATAAGTGCAAAAATGGAACTTTTTCAGGAGATTTAAAAAATTTTCCCAGGTTTAAGAGAACTGTCGTTTAAATCAATAAAAAAAATTTCCAAAAATTTGCACTTATCCTAGTTTACCACTTCACTACAGAATTGGTCTTCAGCTTGACTAAAATTCCCATTCATTATTTTATTATTATAATCCTAATATTTCTAGACTTAAACGTTTTCTGGTGGAACGTTTCCCCCTCCTCTTTTCCACGTTTTGCCCCAACAAGCGACACTCACTCAATAATTGAAAATATGCATTCCACAAACATTTCGTTGTATCACAGGTACGACCCAGACACTTACTCCTGGCAACCCAATCCCAACGGAAAGTACGCCTACGGCGCAACGTGCGTGAGGAAATGCCCGGAGCACCTGTTGAAGGATAACGGGGCCTGCGTGAGGTCCTGTCCCCCAAAGAAAAAAGCGCAAAACGGCGAGTGCGTGCCCTGCGACGGGCCCTGCCCAAAAACCTGTCAAGGTGTCGAAAAAGTGCACTCCGGCAACATCGACAGTTTCAAGGACTGCACTGTCATCGAGGGCTCCATCACGATCCTAGAGCAGAGCTTCACCGGCTTCCAAAGCGTCAACCCCGACTTCACTTTTGGATCCAGATATGGGCCGATGCATCCGGATCGTTTAGAAGTGTTCAGCACCCTCAGAGAGATCACTGGGTACCTGAACATCCAGGGAGCCCACCCGGACTTCAAGAATCTATCGTACTTCAGGAACCTGGAGATAATCGACGGACGAACTCTGACGGAGCACTTCGCAGCCCTCTACATCGTCAAGACGTCGCTGGTCTCACTCGGTCTGAGTTCCCTCAAGAGGATATCCTCGGGCTGCTTCGCCATTCTCGAAAACAAGGAGCTTTGTTACGCGCAAAGCATCAACTGGACGAGAATACGAAAGTCTGCGGAATACGGGAATCTCTTGTCCAATAACAGGAATGAGACCGAATGTGTCAAGGCGGGATTGGTGTGCGATGAACAGTGCTCTAGTGAGGGATGCTGGGGTCCTGGACCTTCTCAATGCCTCTTCTGCAAGAACTTCATACTGGGGAATGTTTGCCTTGAGAGCTGCAATGCGTTACCAGGGTAGGTCAACATGAATCAATATCAGTTTCATTATTTCATTCAATTACTATTGCATTACATTTCATTCCATTACTATTGTTGCTAACAACATCCAGGATTGAAGGTACCACTTGTTAATTTTCTCCACATTGAATATTCTCCACATTGTTCACTATCAATTTGTCATTCCAATATCTCTAGAATTTATGAAGCCGGCCCTAAACTCTGCAAACAATGCCACGAAGAATGCGCAGGTACGTGTTCAGGTCCTTCTGCTGAACACTGCACCTCCTGCAAGCACTTTAGAGATGGCAAGTACTGCGTCCCCCACTGTCAAGCATTGAAATACGAGGAGAATGGGGAGTGTCGACCGTGCCACAGTAATTGTGCTGACGGATGCACTGGGCGAGAGAATAAAATAGGGCCAGGGGGTTGCAATGCCTGTGCGAAAGCCATAATAGATGACGATGTACCAGGGGAGTGTTTGCAGAAGCAAGATCCATGTCCAGATGGTTACTACTACGAGTGGATTGATCCGCAGGAGCAGGGACCGTTGAAGGCACTGGCTGGCACTGGGGCCTGCAGGAGGTGCCACCCACGTTGTAAAAAGTGCACTGGGTATGGGGTGCATGAGCAGGCGTGCCAGGAGTGCATCAAGTTCAAACGGGGGGAGCACTGCGAGGACGAGTGTCCAGCTGATCATTATGTTGAGTCTGGCACTCAGCTTTGTATCCCTTGTGCCTCTGAATGTCGAAGTTGTTATGGGCCTGAGTCCAATCAGTGTTATGAGTGCAGGAATTTGAGGGTTTATGAGAATGGTGACCCTGGGGATAATTCCACGGTGTTCAATTGCACTGGGTCGTGTCCGCCAGAGTATTCTCACAAGATTTATCCGGACGAGGGGGAGCCGTACTGCTCTGCTGCAGCAGCGGGCTCGGCATATCAACAGGAGGAAATTCCCCCTGGGGTTTTGATGGGCGTGGGGAGCATCTTGGCTGTGATCTTCGTGGTGAGCGCTATAATCATGTGGCAATGGAGACTGAGGACGAAGGCCAAAGAGAATACAGTGAAGATGACGATGGCACTGACTGGGCTGGACGACAATGAGCCACTGCATCCAACTGGTGTCAAGCCGAATCTTGCCAAGTTGAGGATTACTAAGGAGGAGGAGATGAGGAAGGGTGGGATACTCGGTTACGGTGCCTTTGGGAATGTGTACAAAGGGGTTTGGGTGCCTGAGGGTGAGAATGTCAAGATTCCAGTGGCCATCAAGGTACTTCATGACAGCACTGGTGCCAATATGTCGAAAGAATTTCTGGATGAAGCGTACATCATGGCTAGTGTTGATCATCCGAATTTACTTCAACTCCTTGCGGTCTGCATGACCTCCCAGATGATGCTGGTGACTCAGTTGATGCCACTGGGCTGTCTTCTCGATTTTGTTCGCACCTATAAGGACAAAATTGGATCCAAACCTATGCTCAATTGGTGTACACAAATAGCACGTGGTATGTCGTATCTGGAGGAGCGAAGACTCGTTCATCGAGATCTTGCAGCAAGGAACGTCCTGGTTCAAACTCCAAGTTGCGTGAAAATCACGGACTTTGGTTTAGCGAAACTGCTGGACATCAATGAGGATCAGTACAAGGCTGCTGGAGGGAAAATGCCCATCAAGTGGCTGGCACTCGAGTGCATTCAGCACCGGGTCTTCACTCACAAATCTGACGTTTGGGCGTTCGGTGTCACCATCTGGGAGATTTTGACCTACGGTGGGAGGCCCTATGAACAAATTTCTGCGAGAAATGTTCCAGAATTATTAGAGAAAGGTGACAGGCTACCCCAGCCAAAAATCTGTTCAATCGACGTTTACATGATCATGATTAGCTGCTGGTTCCTGGATGCGGAATCGAGACCGAGTTTCAAAGAGCTCGCCGACAATTTCGCCAAAATGTCGAGGGATCCTGGCAGGTACCTCGCTATCGAGGGCGACAAGTACATGAGACTTCCTGCGTATACAATCCAAGACCGAAAAGAGATGATCAGGAACTTGGCTGCTGTCGAGGACAGTACAGAGGCCGTTCTCGAAGCTGACGAGTACCTCCAACCGAAACCAAGAGGTCCTCACCTGCCAGGAGTCTCATCCTCCAGTACTTCAGGGTCTCCACGAAGCACGCCAATAAAATCCTGCTGGCCCAGTGGAGTTCCTTCCCTCACGACTGACTCCCCCACCCCTCAGAACCAACAGAACTTCGACAGGGAGATGCTGAGATACAATGCAACACATGGGGCCAGCAGCACCTCTCATGAGCCCAGTGTCTCTGGCCAGAGCTCAAATTACACTCATTCGAATGGCCACTGTGAACAGAGCAGCACTTCTGAGGGGTCCAGGTACTGCTCGGACCCTCTGAAGACGATGGATGTCAGAGGTGAGACATCTCACGTACGATAAAAATCCGCTGGATTTTTTTTTGTTTTGCATTACAGAATCCCAGTCGAAAAAACGTAGATAATTGATGCCCAAGCATTCTTGTAGAAAAAATCTCAAGAGAAAAATTCAAACAGAAATTCAAAGTCTATTGACTTTTTCTTATCGAAAATCCAATAAAATCAGCGCAAAAAATAAATGGAATTTTTTAACAGAATTCAAATAGAAATCCTATAAAAACCCCAGAGAATTCCAATAGAATTTTCTAGCCAATTCTCTAGGTCTTCTATTGCTTTTTTTAATGTGCTCTTACATTCGAACAAAAATTTATTCATCTTTCGATTGATTCATTCCTCATTATTCTCTTTATTCTGCAGATTGTGATACAACAGACGATTGTTTCACAGTACAACTCGACCCGCAATATCAACAGGCCCAAGTCGGCAATCTTAAGCTTGATCTCCCATTAGATGAAGACGATTATCTCATGCCTTCACCTAAACTACCCAATGCATCGCAGTATATGGATCTCATTGGCGATGTTAAATCTACTGGTAAAACATTAATTTCTTCAATTTTTCCAGCAGTCAATACTCAAAATTAATTATTTTACGTTTTAATTCTCCAGATTCAGAACCAAAGAGGTTGCAAAATGGCTACCGCAATCTGGAATTCCTCAGGATTACCGGTAACACATCCCTAGACAACCCAGAGTACATGTCCCAGGACGATAGCATCAGTCCTCAATCAGAAGGAATGCCAACGCCTGATCTCGATAAAGCCGTAACGAATGATGGGTTTGGTGCACAAGTGCGGCAGAGAAATTCCGAGGAGGAGTCTGATCACGAATACTACAACGATTTCGATCGACTAGAGCGGGAGTTGCAGCCGCTGAAGAAAAACGAAACAACTGTTTAGTAAAAAAATTGTTTCTGTGTCGTCACGAATTTCTTCGAAGTACTTAGGGTGTGACAATTGGATCTTTCGTGCAATGAAACAACTGCAAAAACTTATATTCTGAACGTGCCATTACAATGTGGCTTGTACATAACGTGGAGACATGGAGAGTTTTTAAAAATGTGTATAGTTTTGCGAAAATTAATTCGTAAGTCTTTATTCGATATATTTCAATTGGAATTTTATGGAGTTTTTTCATTATCAAGTGTAACGAAATATGAATGAAGAATATCAGATATTAATTTTTTTTATTAGATGAATAATGGAGAATTTTTAAAATTATCAGTCTTCAAGATAAAAAAAACGTCTCGAATAGTTTTCATTTAATTTTTGTGCCTCTGAAAATGTCTTAATGAGAAAATTTCATACAACGACCAATTGCAAACATTATTACTCCCTAATTTTACGACCACAAATGTATAAATGCGGTTTACCGCTGACTGTGATAGGATATTACTCTTTTCCATCTGACGAAGAGCGAAATTCACGAACGTGCTATGATTGATTGCATACAAACGTTTTTAACTATTAGCGTTAATTTATAGTAAGAAAATCATTCATGACTGTCAGTGTACAAAGAACTTACTGTTACCAACGAAATTGTCGCCAATTTTTTTGTCTTTTACGAAATTATTTTCGATTATTTTACACATTCGAGCTTTAATTTTCAGTTTTTCGGATGAAGTTTTAACGATTTAAAAAAAGAGATCATCTTCTAAGATTTAAAAAAACTATATTTATGCAAGTGATCAAAAAGGTTCAAAACCACAAAATTTATTGTTGTATAATAAGTAAAAATCAATAAAAAATATACTCGAAAGATTACGTCATCTTCAATCATTTAATAATTTACTCAATGCCACAAGGAACTCTTGTTTCACTTCAAATTTCATTCAATCGAATAATTTACGGTTTTTAATATGAAGTTTTAACGATTTTATGCCATTCTTAACTTATTTTAAGGTTGAAAACCATAAAATTCCCTGATTAGATTAAAAATCCCAACGAAAAAGCATTGGAAAATATAAAAAAGCAGATTATGTCATCTCCAAGATCATGTTAAATATTGTATTATGAAATGTCTATCGACCCCTCCTGTGTAAATACAACCAGAAAGAAGATTAACGATAAGGAAAAAAATCAAACTCAGTAAATTATTCCATAAAGTTAAGTTCAAACGGCACTAAGTTGCATCAACTATCATTTTTTCTATTCATGTGCCTGTGTCGTATCTATGAACCTCCACCAAGTAGATTGAAATTGCAGATTGAGACTGCAGTTCAGTCGTACGGGGATCGTAACCCAGTATTTGTCGCAATTTCCACTCGAGTATTTGAAAGGTGAACCTCTTTCAATAAAATAAGAATTTATTGTAGAGACAATGTCAAATTCTTTGCAGAGATTTTACACTTTATTTCAATAAAAAAAATTATTGTTAGTAATTTATGTCTGGGGAATTGTTTGACATAATTCTCTTGGAATGGGGATTTTCGTTTTTCACGTGAAGAAACAATGAGTTATTTTTTAAGCTTACGTCAAATCATTCGCAGGGATAATTCTACACTTTATTTTAATAATAAGCAATTGTTATTTGCAAGGTGACACTCTTTCAATAAAATAAGAATTGCTATGAACTTATATGTCTGGGGAATTGTTTGACGTAATTCTCTTGGGATGGGGCTTTTTGTTTTTCACATGAAGAAACAATGAATTATTATTTTAAGCTTGCGTCAAATCATTCGCAGGGATAATTCTACGCTTTATTTCAGTAATAAGCAATTGTTATTACTTTATATTCGAGTTGATAAAGATTTTAAATGTTACGCGTGGGGAATTGTTGGAAATAATCCTCTTGAGACAACGAATGATTATTTTACATCCACGCATGTGTGTTTACTTCAGCATGTGTGGGTCATTGTTCAACGTATGCAGGGGAATCAGTCGCGCTCGGGGCGTCATACTACGCAATCCATCGACGGTCGTCCTCCCATCGAGACCTCACAAGGTGAATTTCAAGAACTTCGTATTGATAATTCGCTTACATCACAAGTTTCGGTTGAAATAATTGAATAATAATCCGTTGAAACGAAATAAAAACCCAGCGTTTCTATTTAATTTCTCGCATTGTTTCAATAATAATAACGTTGTTCACGTTATTTTAATTATTTAAATTATTCATGATGACTATTCTGAAGTTTTCAATTAATGAAACAATTGTTATAGTTAGTTTTGCGTGACAGATAAGATGATGGAGGGCGACGAAGTAGATGATCCACATTTCCGTCATTTATTCGATGGAAATACAGCCTTCAATGTTTATAAAAAAGACATTGTCAACTTGTCAGTGGGAGCGCCGGGACCTGACCTACTCAAGAATTGCGGGAAAATGATGCTGAAGGCGACTGAACATCGAACGGTAAACAAGACAATTCCAACGACTTGTGCATCAATCCATCCATTGAATCAGTTATTTACCCTTCTCTCGATTCAAAATTTTTTTAAATTCAATAATCAGTCTAGCAATAATTGTTCATGAATTTGAGTGATGTCTTCATCGAGATCTCCACAAATAATAGATAATAACTCTTTGAATTCAAGAATTAATTCTTAACACATAATCATTAATTAATTCCAACTATTTATTTGCCCATTTAAAAAAATGAGATCGAGTCATTTCGTGAAGAAATAATAATTCTTCGCGAATAAATTGAATTCTTCAAATTATCTTATGCAAAAAATGACTCCTGAATTCTCTGAATTTAATTAGAATTCATAGACATTCAATAAATGATCCGCTTCCATTTGCAAACGAGGAAAATAAAATATATGAAAGATAATTCTTCGCATTCACAAATACAGGCAGAGGAAGAGAAAGAGGGAATGCATTATCTCTACCAGTACGGACTGACCGCAGGCCTGTGGGAATGCCGAGAAGAGCTGTCAAAATTTCTAACTCGACGTTATCAAGACTCACCCGTTAAAAGAGAGAACCTAGTGTTGACTTGTGGCGCGACTCACGGATTGCAGTTATTATTGACAACAATCTTATCACCGAATGGAGTTATATTCGTGGAAGAAGTTACTTATATGATCGCTCTAGACGCCTTCAGACAGTTTCCTCTCATAAGAATCGTTACAAGTGATTATTCACGTCTCTCAGGTGCTATTGTTGCGTCGAGGAGTGACTGAACATTTTTTTCTTTTGATTTTAGTCCCTATGAAGGAGAAAACGGTTGATCTCGAGGCTTTCGATAGAATCGTTGAGGAGGAGAAAGGGAGGAATAATTATTACTTGAGCGATCAGAAAATTTTTTGGGGAATATTTTACACTATTCCAACGTATCATAATCCCACTGGGATGGTTCTACCACGAGGTGCTCATTATCAATATTAATTATTAATATTTATATCGATTGATTTTAATTACAATGTTTTTCACTCGTGAGTTTAATTGAATTAATGTCTTCATCGATAATTAATTAATTTTTTAAATCGACGGCAATATTCGTGTGAATTAAATTCACAGATTAATCATCACAATGATTACTTGCAGATAAATGTAAAATGCTAGTTGAAATAGCTAGAAAACATTCAATAGCAGTTGCCTGTGACGACGTTTACAATCTTCTTCACTACAAAGAGGGCCCCCCACCTAGAAGATTATTGGCACATGATTCCCCAGAGGATTCAGATTACAAAGGAGGCAATGTGATATCGAATGGATCATTTTCGAAGATTCTGTCACCAGCTATTCGACTTGGGTGGATCGAAGGACCTCCACGAGTCATCAAAATTTTACGAACTTCGTAAGAGCTTCACGTTCACAATACGAAATTGTTGGAGAGGATTTTTATTTTTGTTTGTGGTTTTTTGTAGAGGAGTTCTGCAAAGTGGAGGAGCACTTAATCATTATGTCTCTGGAGTCATTACTAGTCTTCTTGAGCTTAAATATGCAGATGAGCATGTGGATTTACTTCAAAGGACATATGCAGTACGTAAAATGTGATATCGTAAATTGTGTAATGGCTTAAAATTCACGAGAAATGATATTTTGATGAAATTTGGTGATTCAGGAACGTTTAGCAGCAGTTTGTGACACGTTTGATCGTTATCTTCCTCGATGCTGCAGTTATGATAAGCCAGAGGGGGGATATTTCGTCTGGATTACACTTCCACCAGGTGACTCGACATTTCCATAATTTTAAAGAACAATTTTTATCACGTTATAGAGATAAATATAGTCTTGAATTTTTAATGAATTTACAATTCGGCAAAATTTTGTACTGAATATTCATGTTTTTATTGAAAATTGAAGTTAGTTGGCAAAATCTCATCTTCAAATTTTATTAATAATGATTTAATTATTTCCCTAAAAGTGCAGTGAATCAAAAGCTAATAAATCGGTTGTTCATTTCAGAATGCGATGCATCTGAATTCATGAAATGGTGCAGCGAAAAGTACAAAGTAACTGCAATACCAGGTTCAAGATTCTCCAACACTGGAGAGGCTAAAAATTTCCTGAGACTGAGTTTTTCATTCCATCCAGTGGAAACTCTGAGAGATGCAGCTCAGAAGTTGTGCGAGGGGATGCTGGACTACGTGAGGAACCACATGAAGAAGCCCTAGTTCTCCACCGCCTTATATTTTTGGAATAAAAAAAAACTGTACAAACCAGAGTATTAATTTACACGAGTCTATTTATTCGGTCCTAAGGAGTTCTTTTTGCTTAGTGTCTAGTAGGTTTTCAGCTTCCTTCACGTATTTATCGCAGATGGCTTCGAGTTGACTCTGAACCCTCCGCACTTGATCCTCGGAGATTGAAGGGATTTTTTTGAGGTCTTTTATCTCTTTGTTCCTGACGTCTTTGAGACTGTCTCGACATTTTATGAAGAGGGCTTTTGCATTTTTCGCTAGACCTTCTCTGTGTTCTTTTGTTATTCTGCAAATAACAATTAATAAAACTGTAAATGAATATTCATAATATTTTTAAACTGTTAAATTGAAAATTTCATTGGAAAATTGTGGAATTCACGAATTTGCCAACAGTTTTTGGTGAATAAATCAAAATCTATGGGCGATATCAAATTTTTTGTCAGAAGCTTTTTTGTAGCTCTTGAATTGTTCTATAAAAAAGATATTAACAAAAAATTACCTATTTCGTATGGATTTCGAGATATTCTCCAAAACGTAATCTCAACTCTAGAGGAATTGAAAAAAAAATTGTTTTGTATTGTACATACTTTGGTATTGGCACAAAAACAGTCGTTCCATCCTGTTGAGGATTTAAATTCAATCCACTCTTGCTGATGGCATCGAGGATCTGGGGAATAGCTTGCGGAAAAGTCGTGACGTTGAGGACAACGACTTTCGGTTTCCTGGAGATTTGCGCTAGCTCCTGGAGCATGAAATCCTCCCCCTCGAAATTAACAACAACCTGTTCAATGGAGCCAATGGATGACCTGAGAGAGACGTACGTCATGAAGTTCTTCTTCATCTCCTCAACGGCATAATCCATCTGCCTCGTGAATTTATCAACATTGATGACTTCCGAGAGTTCGTTCATGTCGACATTCTGAGATTTTCCAGATTTTTTCTTGTCAGCTTTCTGCTTGACTTTCCCAAGAGCCGGGGAGACGGAAAATGTCCTCTCAATCCCTCGATAAACTGTTTTTTGAGGGAATAATACAGCTGATGCTGTTCCATTGCTGATAGAACACCCGTCATTTCTGGAGACGAAACGCAAGGAAATGTTACGAACCGTGTGCTGAACAGGTGAAAGAACAACTGACGATTTGTGTGAGGCTCTCGATAATATCAGGAATAAATGTCTCATTGTGTTTGCGGAACTCGTGGACCCACGAGTGATTGATAATCCTGACTGCCATGATGGTTTTGCAGACTAGTTGAGACACGTAGTAGTGATTCTGTGAACTCCCGTCGACAATCAGCTGTTGTGATGTTCAAAACCATGAATTGTTGATAAAAAGTTTCTCAAGAATCGTTAAAAGATATCTAATAAGTAATTATTGGTATTTATTCGATAATCATCGGTATCTAATCATTTATTTATTCGTATTTCGGTCGTAAAGCATTCATTTTTCCCTCTACGCATGCCCCGCCCTCGATTTCCCCTACTGCGCATCTGCCATGCGCACCCCGTTCACCGCCATCTTGATCCATTGTCCGACGCACGATTCGCATCGTTTGGACGTATTTCGCTCGCGTAGCGATGAAATCTCCTTGAAAACGCGTTAAAACCGTCGACGTGGCGTCCAGGGAGTGACTCCGCATCTCAGTAAACATTTATTTCCTGAATTATCCCTGCAATTGTCCTTAAATCATCTAATTATTAGTATTCTGTCCATTGCGCAGGCTTCGGCAGTCACGTCCCCCACTGCGCAGCCGTCTCGCGCAGCCTGTGCGACGCCATGTTGATTCTCGCACAATTCCCCGACTGCCGGCTCGAGCGGACGTATTTTGCTGTTGTAGCCGTGAATTCCCCTGAAATCGAGTTAAAATCGTCGGCCTGGTGTGCAGGAGGTGCCCCCGCGCCTCATTACACATTAATTTCCCGTAATTTCTCAAGTATTTACATTATTATTCGATTATTGGCGATTGGAAGCATCTGCCAGGCATTTCCCATTGCGCAGCTGTCTCGCGCAGCATGCACGACGCCATCTTCATTCCTTTGTTCTCGATGCATTTATCGACTGGTGGATTCTGTGGACGGCTGGAGAAGCTGTACGTGGGGGATCACCTCCTGTACCGACGGTATGACCTGCAGAAGGTCACCCGGGGGGTGTGAAATATTTTCTTTTGTGATTTTAGTGATGGTGATTAGTTTATTAGTATTTTTAACGGATTTCTTTGTTTGTGGGGATGAGGGCTGGTAACACAGTGGTGATTCCTTTGTTCTCGAGTCAGTGATCGATCAGTGGAGATATGTGCAGTGTTTTAACCCGTGGATTCTCTAAAATATCGACTGTCCGATGTCCAGGAAGTGATGTGAACGACTTGTGCGGGGGCGTGAGTTACCGAGTGTTGTTTTTTGAACGAGTACCGAGTGTTGCGTTGCGAACTGTTGCTGAGGATGATTCCAAGGGGTTCAAGGACTTGATGATGATTTGCTCGAGTGGACGACAGGTCTCCTGGACATCCGACTTCTCGTGTCCAACAATGGTTCAACAATGTTCAACTGACGGTGAGTTTTTACAATTCTTTGTTTGTATTTTTTTTTTTATTATTGAGAAAATGTGCGAGGAGGGTTTTTTTAAATTAAATGGATACTTTTATTGTTTCAAATCTATATTTTTGGAATTGAAGTGAGATGTGAAAATTTTACAAAAATGCAAAACATTGAAAGCTCAGTGAGTTCTAATTAATCATTATTTTTTTTATATTTTTTAATCTGAAAGGAAGCGAAATTTTTGTGAATACCTTTCTTGGGAAGAAGAATCATAGCTACTAAAATAAATCCTGCGAAAAATTCATCATCTCCCACAATTCTGAAAATAGTCACCAAAACCAAAGGTCGAATAGAAATTTTCGTATTTTACAAGTGAATTTAGACCCGAAAAGCGTGAAAAAATTAAGTTTCTGATAGAGTTATTATTCCTGAAATAACATCTATTATAATAAGAAGTAATAGACGAGGGGAAAGTGAGATACGTTCAAACATAGATACCCCCCCCCCAGCGTCATCGTTCAACGTTCTCAGTCTATTCCATGCTATTATCTCAATTAATCAACTTCTCACTGTACTTGTCACGCATATGATGTACACTAAATTGATGTCGTTTGACACCAGTTGCCGGATATAACGAATTCCTGAGTGGTGAGGTATTATCTAAAGCTTCCATGAATAATTGCCGTTATTTGTGATGAAATTGTTGACAAATCAGTTGCTAATTTACGGAGAAACTTGGAAACAATTCGTGACTAAAGGGAATAATGGAGATGAAGTTGTTTTCTTGGTAGTCCCTTGGTACATATCTCTCTTCACTCAAGTCGTAAAATTTTCCCAAGACTCATCATCGCGCTCTCACAGCTCATGCTCAACATTCTGCCAACATGTGTCGAGCGTTTCCCCCATTTTCCACTCGAAGAATTTCGAAAAATTTCTCGAGTAGTATAGAACCTGTTAGTTTGGATTCCTATCCAGTGTGAAGAGAAAAATACGTTTGATGAGGGACTGGAGGGAATAGCAATAAATCAAAATAGAGTTTAAAATTCTAGCAGAAATAGCTGGAGTGTGAATAATCCACGGGGATTAATAGCAAAAAAATAGTCTGTAATAAAATACAAATCGTTGACATTGAAGTAAATGCACAAATTTCCACAATTTTTCATTATTACGAACAAAGCATAAAATTCTAGCCACTTTATGCACCTATAAATGCTGATCGGGATAATTTTGAAAAGTACTATTTGAACTCAGTTGAGGTGAAAAAAATGGAATCGTCAAAAAACAGGAAAAACCCTGAAGTCCTCTATTGATACCTCAAACCCACGAATATAATTTTTATATCCATGTCCTGCCAGAACCATTACATTTTTACGATCGCAAAGAGCCAGTGGTTTATAGCTCCACTGGGGAAAATGGTCTTTGAGACGTGCAATGGTTTCAACCCTTGAATAAAAAAAAGAGTAAGGGAGACGTTTCAATAATACTCGACGATGTTCCTGAGGGATGGAGAGAAGTCGTGGGAAATTTAGATTTATTGTCGATGAACAGATTAGAGTCCCAATAAAATAAACAACTGAGAACGCTAAACGGGGATATTTTTCTCAGAAAGAAGGAAGGGATTAACAATATAGGTGTTAACACGGATATTCTTCAGTCCCTAGCACTGTTAGAAAAAAATTTGAAATTCCATGGACAGTCGGCTCGTAATTCTCAGGCGAGTGACATTGAATTTCCAACAGTGAAAATTTACCGATTTTTTTTTACTTTAGAGGTTTCTTCCCAGTTGAGTCGTTTGAATCGTATCGCTCGTTGAGGAGATAACAGAAAGGTTCATTTCACCCCACCCTCCCCTAACCCATCCTGTCGGTGGAGACAATCAACAGTCTCCCCTCGAACAATAACCGAAAAATCCATTGAAGACAGACTAATCCATGATTAATCCTCTCCTTATCCCCCCGGGGCAAACGACACCCCCTCGATCCAAGAGGTATCCCCTCACGTGTAAACACTCTTTCTAAGCACAAGGGGTTAAGAAAAACCGCAAAACAAAAAGAATAAGCGAGGGAAAAGCCCTCGGTAAAGAGAGGCCAAGTGGAGGGTTTTTGTCAGAGGTTTCGAAGCCGGCGAAACGACAGTACGACACCGACACACGAGTGCATATAAACCCAGGGGGGGTTTTGTTGGTGGCGATGATGGCGCTTTGCCGGTGGGAGGCTAAACCCGTGAGCCAAGGGGGAAAAAAAGAAAATATTCATCTCTCCAATGGTGTTTGTCGCCGTGTGCATGTATGTGTGTGAAGTGTATGCGCGCGCAACGGCTTTGTCTGATTGTGGAGTTGCTTGGGGTGGGGCAGAGAGGGAGAAGCTTATGTGTGCGGAGAGACTAGCGCACCACGAGGGGGCAACGTAGGTCCACGGTATACCCATGGCGGACGGGCTAAAACTCGCTGAAGCAACTTGCATCCTTTCAGTGTTTCAGTCGGCCGCTGAACCCGCGCGCCGCACGATCGTGTGGTCTGTGATTATTCGTTGAAGGATTTTTTCCCCCCTCGTTCTTGTTTATTTTTCGTTCATTTTTTTTTTGTTCGTCATCGTTTTTGTGTCGTGAAGCAAAAAATTCGGGATTTATAGCGGCTGTTTTCGGAGCATTTGCCGTGCATGAACGTGAGATTTAATTAGGAGTGATTTTTATTATTTGGAAAATACGGGGAGACAAGTTATCTTGGGGGGATATTTTTGGTTTTTGTGGACTCGTGGATCATCATTGGTTTACCAGAGGGATTCTCACTGGAGTGGAGGAAAAAAATTGCCTGCATGGTGAGTGACAATTGCCAATTGCTTGGAACACTGTTTAGGGACTATTGTTGTCGAGTTTTTTGTTTAAATTTTCGAAGTTGTCGACGTGCGCAGGTGTCGCTGCGCGATTACACAGGGCGCACGGACGCTGCGGATTCTGGAGGAATTCGCGGTGGAAATTTTTCTCTTTGTTTTCCTTTTTTTTTGGGCTTGATTAGGTGATTCAGGGGGATTTGGGAAGATTTGTCGGTGGATTGAAAACAAAAGTAGTTTATGATTGGACTGTAGTGAGGCAGGTTTCGCAAACTTGGAGGTTGGAAAGAAGAGGTACACCGGGTGGAAAGTGATACGGGCATAGACGATTGGCACATAACTATTGGTGGGGGTTAACTCTCTTTTTTATGCTTCGAAATGATTTTTTTTAATGGCAGGGAAGTAAAACGTGATGCAAGGTGATTTTTAATGATTCGCTGATTGATGTTGAATTAATGCGTTAATGAGTGGGTTGAGGGGAAAATGTCAGCAGATATTTTTTGTTGGAAATTCAATTCTCTACAAAAAAGGTAAAGAGACGTTTCCTCCAAAACTCGATAGTTTAGAAGATAAATACATAATTGTCAATTCAGTTTTTTTGAAGATTCTCTGTTGCAACTTTTTAAATACGTAATTATTTACATAATGGAGGATTTGATAGAAAAATATCAAGGGACACTTTTTATTAGAAATTGAATTATTTCCAAGAAATGTCTGAGGACATTCAACTCTTCTTTTTTACGCTCCGAAATTATTTTTTGAAACAAAGAAGCAACAGGAAACGATTAAAACTCAATGAAAATTAATTTTTCATTTTTGTCATTGAATGTTGAATTATCCCGTTAATTAATCTGCCGACATTTCCCTCCAAGCCAACTC